CGGGGCGCACCCCCCCCCCGCGCTGGTGCTGAAAGTTTGTAAGGCATTTTGATTAGAAAATACGAGTTTTCGCCCCAGGACGTGCCCCGGCCTCCACGGACCCTCAAGATGGCATCCGACAGTGGCCCCGGCCCCGTGGCACGGCGGCGGTGCCGAGTGAGGACATCACCCCGAGGTATATAGTCCACCCGCCCGGTCCGGAAGGGCCCTCTCGCACCTATCCCCTCACCAGACGAGGAATCAGCGCTCTAGGGGGGGGGGGGGTTCTCACCCATGTTGCCGAGCGAGCAGGCTCGCCCTACGGTCGACGGCCCTTATGAAAGCAGAGCTTGTTAGGCTGCGCGACCGAGACGATTGACGGGAGGAGGGCTATCCCCCCCCCCCGTCACCCGTCACCCGTCACCCGTCACCCGTCTAGCAAAATAAGGGGCCAAAGAGGTGTGTTGGATACGGCTCGCCGCAGTGGATTTTCCCTTCAACCCCCAGGATCCCCGTCTCCGACGACACGGGTCGCACCACACGGCAAACGTGGAGGAGGGCACAGTCCCACCGGATTGACGTGCCGCGCCTGAAAGTAATGGCGATTATTAAGGTGTCTGAGCGGGAGGGGGGGTGTTCGGGGTGATGGGGTGCTTGGGGTGCTTGGGGTGTTAGGGGTGTTAGGGGTGTTAGGGGTGTTAGGGGTGTTAGGGGTGTTAGGGGTGTTACGGGTGTCAGGGGTGTTAAGGTTGTTACGGGTGTTGCGGTTGTTAAGGGGTGTTAGTTAAGGGGCGTTAGGCCGAGCCGGTCCAAGCCCATCAGGGGTCGGGCCGTCGCGGGCATGGGGGATGGTTTGGTTAGTTAGAATAGGTTGGGTTTGTTCCGGCCGGACCAGCCCAAGCCCAAGGGGGGGGGGGGTCGGGCTACCCCGGGCAGAGGGGGGGGGTGTAAGTGGGTTGGTGTTGGGCTTGGTTAGGGTTAGGGTGGGTTAGGGTAAGTTTGGATGTGGAGAGGTAGCTGGGGGTTTTGGGGAGGGGAAGGTTTGTTGGGTACCTGAAAATAAAAGGGGGTGATTACGCTGGGGTATCCCGGTTCCCTCGCGGGCGGCCCGGGACACCCGAACGAATGGGGTTCCTGAAAAGGGGGAAAAGTATGTTAGTTCTCTGAAAATAAAAAGGTTATTACGCGGGGGGTCGCGGTTCCCTCGCGGGGGACCTGGGACACCCAAACGGCTGTGGCTTCCTCCCCCCGCCCGGGGGCGGGGTGACGAAGCGAGACACTGTTCCGAAGGGGATGGCTTATGGGGGAGGGTGGCTCCCCTCCGCCCTGTTGCCGTCTGTTTGCTCACCGCGACTACGGCCATGTGTTTTCCTCATCGGAGTCATGCTCCTCGGATGCGTAACTTTCCGCATGGGTCGTGGCGACATGGTTGCGGGCGTGAGGGGGAACGGGAATTAGCCTTGCCTGTTAGCCTACTCCAGTCCCCCCCCCCCCCCCGCAAGGAGGGACTGGTCCGGGGCGTTTTCCGGCTCACACCACGAGGAGGTAATCATAGGCACTTCGGGTGAGGTCTGCTCTCAAACGAATACCCACTTGACACTCGCCCGTTCGTGAGCCAGTAGATAGGGACAGAGGGAATCTCGTTAATCCATTCATGTGCGTCACTAATTAGATGACGAGGCATTTGGCTATATTCGTCTGTATTTCACCCTTTCCCCCCGGACATCCAGTTGCGGTACTTCATTCCATATAGTAATTGGGTACGGTTCTACGGTACATTTGTTCCCTGGGCGCGGTACCGGGGTTGAGCGATGACTCCGTGCCTGTAAGGTAGGCAGCACCGAGGAAGTTGTTGGTGATCCTCTTCACCCGACACCGACTCGTCCCAAACGTCCCGGAGCAGTCGTTGTTGTTCGGTTGAACCGACGCCACGAAGCGGTCCCGCCTATGAGTACCTGGGTTAAGACAAGTTGGAGGTGGCTCTTCCTCAGCGCTCCCAATTCCTGGAGGTGGGAGGCTGAGGCACCGCTCCAGATACCTCTCCAAGATGACAGGTGTCTCCACTCCAAGTGTGGCAGAGGAGAACAGGAGATTCCTGCAGGTAACAGTCCGGAGCTGCCGCTGGATGTCGGGGTTGCCGGCGTAGTAAGCGACCTTCTGTGCGTGGGCCTCATCCAGGTGGACTTGGTTTCCGACGACCTGGGCATCCACGACGAGGGTTGTAGGCCCCATCGTGGCAACCAAATCTGGTTTCCGGANCTCAGGATTTCGTTGCGGACTGCTCTTGCAGCCATTGCCCGGTCGCGAGTCCCTTCGCCTCCCGCATATGTCGCATTCCCGAACGTGAACGGTACGCACCTTCTTATTTTGTACCTGTACATGCGCTCGGTGGCCATTAGATCAATCGGGATCTGGCCGGCCACCACGCACACCGCGTCTCGCGAGATCGTCCGGTACGCTCTCGTTACGGATATCAGGGCCAGCCTTTGCGCGCTTCCCATGGTCTCTGTTATTTGCCGCGTGGTTCGATCGGCCCACGCGGCAGCTCCGTATGTTATAATGGGGATAAAGAGCCCCTTATATATTACCGTGCGCGCCGCGTGTTTCAGACCCCAGCGCGCTCCCGTTAGCCCTGCTACTCTACCGGTGAGCTCCCGAGCTTTAGCCGCCACTATCCGCGCGTGTGCTGCCATCGAGAGCCCAGTACCGAAATATACCCCGAGGTACTTCATCTCAGAGCGGAGCCGAACCAGCCTCCCGTCTATCGTGATTCGTGGTGGTCTCCCATGGCTTAGTTTGCCCTTCGCGAGGATCATTTCCGTTTTTTCAGCTGAGAGAGATAGCTTTTGCCTCTCACACCAGCTGGTCACGGTGCCAACGATTCGCCTAGCCTTTTGTTCTAGCTCCGCTCGTGAGTTCCCGCTTATGAGCGCGAGCAGATCGTCCGCATATGCGATCGGCTCGCACTCATTTTCGCTCGCTAGCTGTGTTACTAGCTCGTCGAATACGAGATTCCACAAGGTTGGTCCCAGGACTGACCCTTGCGGACAGCCCTTGGTGACCGTCTTGCTGACCTCGCAGTGTTTAGAAACTATCTTAACTTTACGGTTCGCGAAGTAGTCACGAAGCAGGTCATAAAGGTCTCTATTACAGTTTCGTTGGATAAGCTCCGCTATTATGCTGGGCCACCATACATTATCGAAGGCTCCGGATATGTCAAAGGACAGGGCGAGTACATACTTACTCCCGGTGTCAGATATTAATTCGCGGAATTTTACGAGGGCATCGTCAGTGCCCTGTTTTGGTCTAAATCCATACTGCCTGTCCGAGTCCCTCCCGCTCGCGGCAAGAATAGGCCTGAGCCTCCCTACCACGAGCTTTTCAAGGAGTTTCCCCATGACAGGCAGCAGGCATATTGGCCTGTACGACCTGACTTCATTTTCTGGTTTGTCGGCGCCCTTTGGTATTACGCAAACGGAGCCAACCTTCCATCGATCTGGAAACTTGCCTCGTTCCAAGCACGAATTATATAATTTTAATACGATCGCGGGTATATTCTGGACGGCGCGTTTCACTATCTCGACCTCGATACCGTCAAGCCCAGGGCTTTTCCTGTTCTTGAGGGCCGAGGTCGCCTTGAGTAGTTCGTGCTCGTCAAAGGGCGCCGACATTTCCCCCGCGGACGGGAGGGCGGCCTTTTCTCTTATTTCCGCGTGCTGTCGCGTCTCGTGTTCCGCGTTGTCGTCCGGTATGAGGGCTCGGAGGAGTGTCTCGGCGCTCTCCCGCCATTCGGTTGTGTTAGTTGCGCCCGACTTGACCGACGACATCGCTGCTTGAATCCTAATTCGGTTCGTCGCGGTTCTGTACGGAGTTCCCCATGGTTCACGGTTCCCAGCCTTCGAGACGAATTCTCTCCAGCTCGCGTTCCGCGCCGCGATCACTGCTCTTTTATAATTCCTCGCGAGGCGGTAATATTCCGCCTTTTTCCGGGCTCTGAGGGGGGGGTCCCTCTCGGCCTGGTACACGCGCCTACTCGCGTATGTCGCGCGCTTTTTATCGGTAAGATCCGGCGTCCAGCCGGGATAGGCCCGGCTATGCCATTTCCTCCGCGGCATCGAGGCGGCGCTTGCGGTGCAGCGTTTCCTCTAGCCGTTGCGCCATTGTCTCGATATCTTCGGTCGTTTCTACACGTGTTTCGGACAGCTCCCCCCCCCCCGGTCCGTATGACGATATCGTCAAAAACCTCCCAGTTGACACGGGAGGTGACGTATCTCCCAGGCCGTTCCGGGGGCGAATTGTCCGCTCGAGTCCCGACAGCGATGTCGATTGCCCTGTGGTCGCTCGTTACCCAGTCGCTGCGAACCGCCCATGAGGTAATCATGGGGCGCGCTCCGGGCGTTGTGAGCGTTACGTCTATACACGACTCACCGCGCGCGCTCGCGTACGTCGCGGGCCCGCCCGGTGAGTTCAACACGTGCAGCCCATATTTGGCTATAAAACTCTCTATTTCCGCGCCTCGTGATTGCGGCCGCCTCCCGTCCGGGATGTTTCGCGGTTTATTGTCCCACAGCGGGGACCGCGGATTAACATCCGCCGCGATGAGGATTCGTTCGCCTCTAAGCTCGTTCAGCACGCGTTCGAGCTCCGCGATACCTCGGGCAGTCCCTTCCGAGAATTGGAAGTAGCTGCTGACGAGATAAAGGTTCCCGAATCCTCCTATGATCTGCACGCACACGGTGTGCGTGGTGCAGAGGTGCGTTACCTTAAGCACCGTGTATGCGTCGCCTCGCACTATGATCGCAGCCTGCACGGGTTCGGTCGCGTTCCCGCCCGTTACGACCAGGTTCCTTAGGCCGATGCCGTGGAGTTTGCCCCGCGTGTTATACGGTTCCTGTACGAGTGCCACATCGGTGCTACCAGCGTGCAATCTCTGCGCGATCTCGGATGTTGCGACTCGCGAGCGCTGCATGTTAATTTGCAGCACTCTGAGTTTTTTTCCGCGCGTTTCGCGTTGGCTTCGCTTAGCCATTGTAATTAGTTTGCGATGCCCTACGTTCTAACGCCGCAATGTAGACCGGACATTTCCTGTCGTTGGATGCATGTGCCGACGGTTTCCCCGCCTTTTTGCAGTTGACACATGCCGCGTTTTTGTTTTTATTCGGGCAGTCCTTATGGGCATGCCCCGCGTTCGCGCAGTGGCCACAAATTTCGGCCTCAACTTTACAGTGTTTCGCGATGTGTCCATACGCGTGGCATTTATAACATCGCGATATCTGCAAAAAGTCGGCCACACGACAGGAGTTCCAGCCTACATGTAGCCTATCCTTCCCTAAGATACGCGCGCGCATCGCCGGGGCAACTTCTAGCACCGTGTTATATGTCTCTTTTTCGCGTCTGCCCGTTACGTACGCGAATCTAATATTTCTCGCGGCTTCCTCGGCCGCCACGCTCTTCAGGTTTTGGGATCTCAGGGTCTCCACGAGGTCCTTTTCCGGGACAGACCTCGGGACATCGTAAACGATGATCCGTGGACGGTCGCCGGTAGGTCTCTCGACCGTGAGTCCCGCCTCCCGGAGAACGCGGTTTTCGGTGAATGCTTTCACCCCCTCGCCTGTCGCGGTTTCAACGATGATCGCACCGTCGCGTGCTTTCCTTACCGCTTTTATACCTATTCCCGCAGTTTTTGGATCTACAAGCGACAATACCATTTTTTTGGTATTCTCGCTGTCCGCGTCCGTCGCCGCGCGTTCCGGTCGTATTCGCACCTCGTGCCTCTTTGGTGCCTCCGCTGCCGCGGCGATCGCGCGCACTGTTCTGGTCGCCGGTCTCCCCACAATGTCGGCGAAGGTTCGCGGTCGCGGGGCATTGAGGGCGGCTGTCGCATTTGCGGTGACGGGTGTTGCGGGGGTCGATCGCCCCGGTTCCGCGCGGGCCGGCGCGGCCGTCGTTCGCGTTGTCTGCGCGCTTCCCCCCCTGCTCGCGGTCTCGAGACGGCCCTCGAGATAACTATTCTTGACGAGGAGATTCCGGATCATCCCCGTCATTACATTGACTCGCGCCATTATATACGCGGTTTGCGCCTTGCCCACCTTCTTAGACTCGTCGAGGCAGAACGAAAGAATTTCGTCCGCGCACCGTCCAGCCTCGTCGCCCTCAGTGCTCTCGCTCGCGCGCGGTCGCGGAGATTCCGGTTTTCGCGATATCTCTCCCCTACCTGTCGGCGCGTCTTCTCGCGGTTTTAACAAGTTATTTTTTTTCCGCAATATTATTGGTTGGTAGGCTTACCGATTCTGCAGCCGTTGTTTCACCCTCGTCGCGTGGGGCCGTTGGCTCCTCCTTGACCGCGGTGATTTGGTCCACCTCCTCTCGATCCAGCTGCACTATGAGGACCTTCTTCGCAGCTTTCTTCGCCACGGTGTCCGTTTCCTCGGTGCTCGCTTCGGTGGAGTGTCGTCTCTTGGAGGTTCCCGCGATGACCTCCATGGCACTGCTATCGGTGTCTCTGTTTTTCCGCGCGTTCTTCTTAGCTGCGGTTCTGGAGATCACTTTCTTCCACCTCTCCATTTCCATTCCCGAGGCCACCGTTGACTCGTCTTCATCCGAGGCTTCGACGCGAGTTTGGCGCTGCATCTCCCTTTTGCGCTGCTTCTCTTCCTTCTTCCTCTTCTTTTCCTCGGAGGGGGCCTCAGAGCTAGTGGTTTTATTCCCTTTTTCTTCCTCGTTAACCACTACCGAGGAGTTCGGGGCGCAGGATGTGGATCCGTCCGTTTCGCGAGAGGGCTTCCGCATTCTGGCCGGGACGATCTCGTCATTGGTCGTGTCCTCTTCAACTTTTCGCGTCTTCTCGGCTTTCTTTTTCCCCTTTTTTCTTTTCTCGTCTCCAGACGCCATCTCGGCAACGTCTGGTGAGTCAGGGCGTGCGGGCCGGTGTCCGCCGCGCCGCGCGGTCGTGGTTGGGTGCTCCCGCAGTCCGCGCGGTAAAAATCGAATTTTTCGGCCCTCGCGCCTAATTCCGGTTTCTTTTAAAAGCTTGTCTTAATACAAGCTCAACAAGCTTTGGATCGCGTGTCTACGATTTTCCTGTCGGGAGTTATTTCCCTTTAAGTTTCCCCGTATATCGTATATGGGGCCGGGGCCACGCGTCTCCTACTCATTCAAGATGGCGGCGGCCGCCATCTTGGATTTTCTGAAATTTTTCGCGGTTTTCGCGTCCTAACTTTTTAACGGATTTAGATACACTCGCGTACCTAGCACCAAACGACTCGTTTTTCCGCGGCGCTTCGTTTGGTGTATTCGCGAGGGGGGTTCGCTTCTGCCCGTCCGAGTTATTCGCCCGGCGTCGGTTTTCGCGCACCGACGCCGCGAGTGAAAAATCGGTTTTCCTCGCGTTAAAAATCCGATTCTCGTCCGATTTTAAAGTATGACCCGTCAAAATGCTCATTTTAACGAGCCCTACACCGTGAACTAAACGGATTTGAAATTGCTTAGGGGGGTCGAAAGTTATTCACGATGACGGCTCCCGCACTGCCGTATTAAGATTCGAGTTTCGGTTATCGCGCTCTAAAAATCGCAATTCTCGTCCGATTTCAAAAACGCGGACACCGTTTTCAGTGCTAGAAAACGGCGCTAAAAATGAGCCTAGGCTCGTATTTTTAGCTCTTACGGGTCTCGAGTTATCGCAAGTTATAACTCACTGAATTTCTCGGGCCGGCGTCCCCGCGCATGCGCAGTCCGCCTGGCGTCGCTTCGTCTCGGCGTTCTCTCTGCGTCCTCGGTTTTTGCACTTTTTCCACAAAATTCTTCAAGTAATCCTTATTTGCACTGCACTGAACTACACAGAATTGGATTCCGAACACGGTGGTACGGGCCGATTCCAGATCCGTTACGAAATTCCGCGCGAATCGTCGAAAAACCGGGAGCGTCACTCCGCACGTCCGTACTCCTCGAGCGCTCGCTTGGAACTCCCCTCTGCCAGGGCAGCAGTGAACCGCTCCCAGACGGCCCTTCTTACGTTGAACCGCCTGGTCGCGACGTCGCCGTCATCGCGGCACCCCCCGGGAACCCGCAGCCCGATGTCAACGGCACCGTAGTCGCTGGTGGTCCAGTCAGCCCGGACCTTCCATGAGCTGACGTATTCGCTCATGACAGGAGTCGCCATGGTCACGTCGATGTATGACTGACCCCTTGGCGTCCAGTAGGTCGGGCCCTGGCCAGGGTCGTTGACCACGGCGAGGCCATGCGCCTGGATGAATCGCGCAAGAGCGCGGCCCCTTCCGTCCACCCTCTGGACTTTACCCCAGAGGGGGGACTTGGCGTTGGCGTCTAGCGCTATAAGGATTCCCTTCCCCCTCAGCGAACGAAGCACCATTTCGAGGTGGCTGAGGTGCCTCTCGATCTCCTCGAAGTGCTGGAAATAGTGCGACACCGCGTAGAAGGAGAAGCTTGGGGCCTGCACTTCCACACAAACGCAGTGTGCCGTGATCAGCTGGGAAAGCATATTGACCTCGATCTCGGGGTTACAGATGACTACCGCGGCCCAGGGGCGTTCCCGGCGCACGGCAGCCACCCTGACTCGGGTCCCTACTCCGTAGAAAGTGTGGCTGTCCCCCTGTTCCCGGACGTACGGTTCCTGCAAGAGCAGAACGTCCAGTCGCTTTTGGGAGATCAGCTCACTCACCTCTCCCATGACTCGAGCTAAACGTGCCGCGTTCAGCTGGAGTACCCTAATTCCCATGGTATTTGGGGACCTATCCATCGCGGTAATGGTTCCTCGGCTGTCGGAGCCGGCGCATTCGCAGCCCTGGTTGCGGGTCACTGAGGTAGGGCTAATTGGGTTTACGGGGACTTTACTCTGGGCTGCGATTTCGGATTCCGCGACCGCGGGCCTGGTGGTGCGGGCGTACCCCACGGCCGCTGCCGCGGGGGTTACCGGGGCCGCCTCATCGCATCGACTCAGGCTAATTTGGACAGCACGAAGGCTGACGACCATGGGCAGCGCCCCGTCGCGGCTGCCGCCGGAGACGCTCGCCGGCGCTGGGACGTCCGATTTGAGGGAGAGGGCAAGTGCCCTCGTGACCGAGCGGGTGCACGGACGTCCGACGGGGGCTGCGACGGCACCGCAGCGCACCGACCCTGAAGAGCGGGCCGGGTGCACCCCCCCCCCATCCGCTGGTGCTGAAAATTTGTAAGGCATTTTGATTAGTAAATACGAGTTTTCGCCCCAGGACGTGCCCCGGCCTCGACGGACCCTCAAGGTGGCACCCGACAGTGGCCCCGGCCCCGTGGCATGGCGGCAGTGCCGGGTGAGGACATCGCCCCGAGGTATAGTCCACCCGCCCGGTCCGTTAGGGTGTCTCCCCCCTCGCACCTATCCCCTCACCAGACGAGGTATCAGCGCTCTGGGGGGTTCTCACCCACCTCGCCGAGCAAGTAGGCTCGCCCTACGGTCGATGGTCCTTATGAAAGCAGAGCTTGTTAGGCCGCGCGACCGAGCCGATTGACGGGAGGAGGGCTATCCCCCCCCCCCGCCTCCCGTCTAGCCGAATAAGGGACCAAAGAGGTGTGTCGCGTACGGCTCGCCGCAGCGGACTTTCCCCTCAATCACCAGAATCCCCGTCTCCGACGACACGGGTCGCCCCACACGGCAAACGTGTAGGAGAGGTGCACAGTCCTCCCGGATTGACGTGCCGCGCCTGAAAGTAATGGGGATTATTAAGGTTGGGAGCGGAGGGGGGTGTGTTCGAGGAGATGGGGTGCTTGGGGTCTTAGGGGCGTTAGTGGTGTTGCAAGTGTTAGGGGTGTTGCAAGTGTTGCGGGTGTTAAGGGGCGTTAGCCGAGCCGGTCCAAGCTCATCAGGGGTCGGGCCGGCCCGGGCATGGGGTATGGTTTGGTTAGTTAGGATAGGCTGGGTTTGTTCCGGCCGGACCAGCTCAAGCCCAAGGGGGGTTCGGCAACCCCGGCAGATGGTGGGTGGGTGTAAGTGGGTTGGTGTTGGGGTTGGTTAGGGTTAGGGTGGGTTAGGGTAAGGTTGGATGTGGAGAGGTAGCTGGGGGTTCTGGGGAGGGGAAGGTCTGTTGGGTACCTGAAAATAAAAGGGGGTGATTACGCGGGGGGATCCCGGTTCCCTCGCGGGGGGCCCGGGACACCCGAACGAATGGGGTTCCTGAAAAGGAGGAAAAGTATGTAAGTTCCCTGAAAATAAAAAGGTTATTACGCAGGGGGTCCCGGTTCCCTCGCGGGGGGNAGAATGCAGCAGCCAATCCCGCGGCCCGTACCCTTTGGCCTGGGTCAGGCAACCACTGCCACCTCGAATCCTACTCCAATCGCCGGGGCCCGCCTTCGGGCGGGGGGCTTCCCCGGCTCCCGAGGTACCCTCTTTCGGATATGGGTGATCCGTTCGGCCGGTTCGCACCGGCCTACCAGTTTGGTCTCTGCCAAGGACCCCGCCCTGGTGAGCGGTGACGAGGGGCACCCACAGGTCGTCACTCCTGTGTCGCCCATACGGGGGCGGCCCTAGGCTTTTCGCACGCGCCACCGCGGCGCACAGGGTCCTTCGCCCATGGACTTCTGTCGCCGCTGGTGTGTTCTCCGGCCTAGAGGGAGCTGTACTTATTCTATGTTCGCAGTCTTAACTATCGCCAGTCATTGCCGGTCCGTGGAGTGACGGAGGTGTGTACTAATTTGTTAGATTCTCGTTCTGCTCTTTCTGTGAGAGAGCCTCGCGAGCGTAGGTTCTGAACACCCGGTATGTGTTACGTTTTACGAGGTCTCGCGGCTCAACCGGCCACCCACTCCCCACCGCTCGGAGTGACACCGCCATGCGGCCCCTCTCCTCGCCGTATAGGGGGCAGGTGTACAGCACGTGCCACACCGTCTCCTCCACCCCGCATCTCTCGCACTTCGGGTCATCGACCAGTCCAAACCCGTATAGTTTAGCCTTAAAATTACCGTGCCCGCTGAGCATCTGCGTCACGTAGTAATCCGTGCGCATCCACCTCGCGGACATGCGCTCGACCACGTTCGGGAAGTATTCCGCGGTGCATCGTCCTTTGTCGCTGGCGGCCCATCGGGCTTGCCAGAGGCTCAGGATTTCGTTGCGGACTGCTCTTGCAGCCATTGCCCGGTCGCGAGTCCCTTCGCCTCCCGCATATGTCGCATTCCCGAACGTGAACGGTACGCACCTTCTTATTTTGTACCTGTACATGCGCTCGGTGGCCATTAGATCAATTGGGATCTGGCCGGCCACCACGCACACCGCGTCTCGCGAGATCGTCCGGTACGCTCTCGTTACGGATATCAGGGCCAGCCTTTGCGCGCTTCCCATGGTCTCTGTTATTTGCCGCGTGGTTCGATCGGCCCACGCGGCAGCTCCGTATGTTATAATGGGGATAAAGAGCCCCTTATATATTACCGTGCGCGCCGCGTGTTTCAGACCCCAGCGCGCTCCCGTTAGCCCTGCTACTCTACCGGTGAGCTCCCGAGCTTTAGCCGCCACTATCCGCGCGTGTGCTGCCATCGAGAGCCCAGTACCGAAATATACCCCGAGGTACTTCATCTCAGAGCGGAGCCGAACCAGCCTCCCGTCTATCGTGATTCGTGGTGGTCTCCCATGGCTTAGTTTGCCCTTCGCGAGGATCATTTCCGTTTTTTCAGCTGAGAGAGATAGCTTTTGCCTCTCACACCAGCTGGTCACGGTGCCAACGATTCGCCTAGCCTTTTGTTCTAGCTCCGCTCGTGAGTTCCCGCTTATGAGCGCGAGCAGATCGTCCGCATATGCGATCGGCTCGCACTCATTTTCGCTCGCTAGCTGTGTTACTAGCTCGTCGAATACGAGATTCCACAAGGTTGGTCCCAGGACTGACCCTTGCGGACAGCCCTTGGTGACCGTCTTG